GCCAACAACCATAACGGAACATTTGTGCCATGAAAGGATGAGGCGCCATGTGTAGCACCACTGGGCAAAGGTTTGAAGATCCTTTTTATGAGCTCGAGCACGATGTTGCGATCTGCCGGCTTATACTGATAAGCGAATTTTAAATCATCAGCGTACAAGAAGGGTCTACCATACTGAAAACAATCTGGAACATCGTTGACAAAAAGGCAAAATAGGAGTGGCCCTAGTACACTACCCTGTATAACTCCACTCCTCTCATGTGTGGGATTGAAAATAACATTGGAAATTTTAACTCACTGTGTACGAGCATCCAACTAGGCAGATATTAAGTTCAGAAGCTTGTTACATATGCCAAAAAGAGGAAAGTTTCAGAAGGAGGAGATTATGGTCAACACTATCAAAGGCCTTAGTAAAATCAAAATAGACTGCATAAAGGGCAAAACCGCTGTCTCTAGATCGTAGCACATAATAAAAGAAAGAGAGCTGGCAGGTGTCACAAGATCTTCTCTCGAGAAATCCACGTTGACCTGCATTGATTAAGTTGTTCTCTGTCTAATGATGCATCATCTTTTCTTTGATCAAGATCTCCAAGCTCTTCGAGGCTGCGGGCAGTGTAGTTATTGGCCTACAGTCAGCAAAAGACGTCGATTGGCCAAACGTTTGTAAGTTCGATAAATATAGACCAACAGTAAACACTTATCTTGTCTAGAATGTGATAAGTCTGATTTTAGGAGAATTTGTTGTGTTCTACTAATTGAATAGAAACCTCTATTTTTGCTTGTGTGAGACGGTCAAGATTTTTAAAAACTGGGCATACTTTCCGTCGTCGAAGGACCTTGTAAAAAACGCATAAGAGTATTCCTTGTTAATTAGACAGTTCTGTGTAAATTCAATTTGTGTATTCTCCTTCGTTACTCGGCATCGTAGTTACAAAATTCTTTCCAGAGACTTGATTGTGTCCAAGGGAAGGTGCAGTTTGCCAGGTGGATATTTTTAGATTGCAGCTGAGGAGCGCTCTTGAAATTTATGGATCCAATAAATTCTGCTGTTCTTGTAATCAGCATATTTGCACCTGGAAAACGTTGCTTTAAATTTCTGAGTAGGAAGTAGTTGGAAATGTCGGATAAAGCAGGTTACTTGTGAAACATCTTTGAATGGGAAGCACAACCATGTGAAAAAGTCTTCATTTCATTTTAGGAAAGTATAAATTATCAGAAATAAAGCCGCAGATCTGAGCGACTTTGGTCGTAATTCTATCTTTGAGAACCAGATTTAAAACTGGAATTATAATAGAAGCTTTCCATAAATCAGGAAAAAACCATTATCGAGAAATACGGAAAATAATTTACGCAGTAAGGGTGGAAAGTTCTTGATCGTTTAATAAGTGAGTTTGGAATGCTATCAGTTCCAACCGAATGTGAAGTCTTAAGACGAGCTATTTCTTTTTGAATATTAACAGGTGAGGACTGAGTACTAGTGTGATTTGAATCACATAGCAGGGGGATTGAGGGAGTGGGAATATCTTCAATGGTAAAGTACTTGGTGAAGAAGGAATTTAAGAACTCAGCTTTTTCCAAATCCTCTGTAACAAAACGTTTGCTAATATCGAGTTAAGGCGGAATGACTTTCTGAAATTTAACCGACAACCGAAGCCAGAAGACTTGACCAATGGATCTTGAAGAATTAGCATCAGTTAATGCTAGGCACTCCTTACACCTTAAGGCTAAATATTAGACTTGCACGAGATAGCTATCCGGAGTGGAATTATAAAATTAGGATCAAAGTATGCAGAAAATAATTGAAAGGACAATTGCAGACCTGGCTTTCTCACCTGCTCTATAGAGTCCGGAATTATATATAATTATTCCTTTGACCAATATAACTGCTTAGTCGTTCAGGTTTTATTCGTACCAAACGCCCCTACTCCTACTCCCAGCTGTACTAAAGGGGCACTATTTGAAACGGGAGACACATGCTCATGCTAAGAGGAACGGTTAAACACCGTTTGGGGAATGTGAAGCCAAAAAAATACTCCCTTCAACCATCTAAGGTCTACAGCAGGAAATATCGCTGAAAATTTATTAACGGACTACCTTCATCGCCAGGATCGTCACCAGAGAGTAGTTTTTCATGCCTTGTTGGAATCAAGTTTAGTCCAATTTGAAGGCCAAGAAAAGGAGGACCTCGCTTCCTTCCAGGGTCTTCTAAACCAGCTGCTTCTGTCAGAAGTGGAATTAAAAGTCCTGAAAAAGTTTCTGTTTATTTCAACCGCAAATTTGCTCTCTATTCAAGGGGATGCATAGTTGGCTTCTTTAGAATTCTTTTCTCGTGGGGACCGTGACTTACGCGTAATACTAGACTTGCGTGACATCTACCGCACTCCCCAATCCCCTAACCCGCCTGAGCCCAGCGTCAAGACATGCGGTCGATTACATATCGTATGAAAGGTTGGAGATTGTGGGAGTTAACGCACAGTTGAGGTTGTTTATTTAGTTTATTGGGTTGACTTGGGACGCAAAATGCTGTTTACTAGAAATGAATTCCGTTCAGGTCAGTATACGGGGGAAAACAGAGGCGAAAATGGGCGAAATCCAGCGTTTGTTGATATCCGAGGAATGTATATGTATATTTAAGGGTTACAGGCAAGAAATTCCCTTGAGGACCTTATTAATGTAAAGCAAGCAATGTTTTTCCTACAGTTAATGTGCAATTGGTGGAGGACTTATGATACCATGACAGAATTTCGAATGACACGTGTTTCTACGCTATTAAACGTTGCGGAAAACAGCTTCGTTTTTGTGCATGTCGCACTATAAACGAACATTCATGAAGAGCAGGAACTTTGAAGTTATGCCTGTTCACAAAACGGAAAATTTTGTCTTGCGTCCTTGAAATTGAGGTTAGTGTTATTATGAAATAGCGTATTATTTTTGGAAAAAGAAGGGTGAAATAAGTGTAAAAATTCTATTTTGCAAGTACTCCAAGTTTTGTGCCATAAAATGTAGTAATCAATTGTAAAGGCTGTTACGTGATATTACCTAACTTAAAATGTATATTGTATATTTGAAGGGTTGCAGGTAAGGAATGCGTATGAGGACTTTATTAGTATACAGCAACTAAGTCGTTGGTACAGTCAATATAAATGGGAAAACAGTTAATATAACACTTATTTGAGTGAGGCGTCGTGGGACATTGTGTAACAGTTTTCTCAACAATCACCATTGATATTATTGCCACTCTGCTATGCAGTTTTTATTGTAGAACTGAGCCTAGAGGTAAACAAATATACCAAAAACTGTTCCGAATTAAATAGAAAGGTTAGCTCTTTCATTTATAGCAGAAAATGTGTCCATAATTTTAGGGAAATCAATAAAGTGGCCAAAATTTTCCATTCTGATCTTGACTTAATCTTCAAAAAAAATAAAGTACACAGACATCCGACGCCAAAATATATAACTAAAGCTGT